ATTATTGATAGATATGCAGTTATAGCTATTTTGTTGTTTATATATTTTTCTTTTTTCACTTCTTTTTCTATATTAATTAGTTGTAATTTACCATAAAGTCCCAGTGTTAGATTATTTGCATTATGGATACCCTTACAGGCTTCCCATCAGTGTTTGTGTGCAGCACAGAAAGGGATCACGGACCATCTTTGCTAGACTTCCATGGACTTCCTGTTAACTCCTCAGCCTGTCTTCTGATGTGGGCGTCCTAGAAACACTTGTTTCATTTGATCCTTACGGCAGCATTGAAAACAACCATGCCATTAAGCCATTGGCCCTTTTTTATCTGCAGGCGCACCATGATGGCTGTGGCTAACGCTCAGCACCCGCCACACGCACAATCAATACTGACGTCGTGAAGCTGGTTATTATGCATCAGCCAGATGTGCGAGGAGATGGTGTGGGCTTGAGGTCTGACTCGGAGAGACTTAGAATGTTTCATTTATCTTCTCTGAGCCTCAGAGTTTACACCTCCAAAGAGAAGATGATTAGAATGGTCTGTCTTCTCTACCGGTTCCTGGGGAGTAGGTGACGTAATCTGTGGGGAGGCACCTGTACCCTCAGGTGCTAGGGGAGTGTGGGTTCATGCAGAGCAGAAGCTTCCTGACTAGATTGTTGGGAGCTAGCAAATGTGTTTCAATTTTCCTGTTAATGTTAATTGGAATCAAATAATGAGGATATAATGAGACAAATCCAGATTGTGGGGCATTGTACAAAACAGCTGGTCTGGACTCTTAAAAAGTATCAATGTTGTGGAAGACAGAAAGGAGAGAGTGAGTACTCAGAGAGACACACCGGCTGTTGTGGATTGGGGGGAACAGGGATAAAGGGTGTAATTGAAACAGTTGGTCAAGTTCGAATGTGGATTAAGTACAAAATAATATTGTGCAGAGGTTTAATTCCTTGGGTATGATGATGGTGTTGTTATGTGGGACAGTGTTTTTGTTCTTACATGCTGAAATATACAGGGTTGATTAACATGATTGAATACTTTTTTTAAAAATATATTTTATTGATTTTTTACAGAGAGGAAGGGAGAGAGATAGAGAGTCAGAAACATCGATCAGTTGCCTCCTGCACATCTTCCACTGGGGATGTGCCCGCAACCCAGATACATGCCCTTGACCGGAATCGAACCTGGGACCCTTCAGTCCGCAGGCCGACGCTCTATCCACTGAGCCAAACCGGTTTCGGCCATGATTGAATACTTATTGTGTACAACTTTCAAATGGTCCTACAAAAATAAAAATAATAATCATATATACACATATATCAGTTTCATATACGTGTGTTTGCAAAAAGTTCAAAATTGGTGAGTCTAAAGGAAGAGTGTGCAAGTGATTTTGCATTTTTTCTAGGATTGAAATATTTTAAAATAAAAACAGGTAGGGGGAAAAAGATAGGGAAGGGATGTACTTTAAATAAAACAGGTTTGAAACAACATGAGGACAGCAGTAGTCTATTATGTTTCAAGTCATTTTTATATTCTGATGGGGGGAAAGCACACTAAGGGATTCTCTGAACTAGAAGGAAAGGAAGGGGAACCTTTAATTGAAATATTAATTGTAGAGATTAAAAGAGATCATGTTAAGGGGACCAGTATTGTGCCTAGTATGATGTATAAGGTGCTCGATAAATGTTCATGAGTGTGTGGTGTGTGTATGTGTACATGGGCACACACACACTTACACTGAGCATCTTTTGAGCCTCACCATAAGCCAGAGGTTGGACATTGAAGCAGGGGGTCACCTGGCACCCACGTTTGGACTCTTCACAACCCTGCTCTGCCACGCAGCTCCCACCAGTCCTTTCTCTAGTGTGCAGCTATGTAGCTTCTAGAGAGAGGGATTCCTGTGTGAGACCCTTAGGGAGAGAAACTCTATGGAGTTTTCATAATCACAGAAAAGCAGAACAGAGATTTCTTTTTATTTTTTTATTTTAATATATTTCTTTTTTTTTATTTCAGTGAGGCAGGGAGAGGAAGAGAAAGATAGAAACATCAATGATGAGAGAGAATGATCAGCTGCCTCCTGCACACCCCACACCGGGCATGTGCCCTTGGCCAGAATCAAACCTAGGATCCTTCAGTCTGCAGGCCAACGCTCTATCCACTGAGCCAAACCGACTAGGGCAGAACAGAGATTTCTTATTGTGAAAAATCTCTTTGCCTCAACGAGAAGAAGATAATGCCCATTTCCTAATTTTTCTCCAGCCGTATATACAGTGGCTCATGAAGCTGCTCGTTCTTCATCTTTATAAATACAACACAGCACCATAGACGTTAAAGCGAGGCTGCTGTGGCAGCAACAGATGCATAAGTGACCTCGAATTGTTGGGTGGACTTGGAACACGGAACAGGCGAGCATGCCAGCTATAAAAAGCACCGAAACATAAACAAGTGCTCTGATTCCTGACTCTGCCACAAGTAGATGTTGGGTGATTTTTTTTCCAGGGCAACGAGTTCTCTTTCCAAGAGCAGTCTGATGCAGCTGTTTTTTCCATTGTGTCATAAAAAGAGAATTATGCAGCAGTTTGCCACTCACTTAGCTTTATGTTGAAAACATCTTTTTCTCCTCCTTAGTGGTAAACCTCTCCTTTTTTGAGGAGAGAGAGAATTCTGATCAGGGGACCCTTCTCAGATTTGCATATTTTTGTTTGTCATCTCTGTTTTTATCCCTAAAAAATAACTGAGAAAGATTTCTTATTCTGATCCAATTTTGGGTCAGTTTTGTAATGAGGGGCAGGAATACTGGCTTTAAGTTATTTCCTTTCTGTGTGTAGTTGAGGAACTTTCAGCAGCTGTTTCTCTACATATAAAAAGGAGGAGGCGAGTATGACTATGTCTGTCTCACGCTTTAAAGGGAAAGGACTTATGATGATAAATTTAATACAGTGGTCATGTTTGGGCTTGCTGGAACAACTCTCTGAAATATACTAAAACCACTAATAAGAAAAGGACAGAATTGAAGTTAACTGTGAGGTAGCGCACAGAAAAGAAGACTCAACTTCAGAATCCACAAGTCCTAATTACAGCAAGCTGGGAACAATACACCTCATCTCCTTAGGCGGCTGTGTCTCTTTAGGTGTCCCCCACTCCCATCCTGAATAGTTAGTTGCACTTGATCTCTGTCCGTGGGATAATTTCACTAAGAAAACAGAAGCTTTTTCTATAAAATCAGGAATTCGCTGGGAGATTGACATGTAGGTTCCCCCCCCCCCCACCCTCCCCCAAACAACAACAAAGTTCAGAGCTCAAAGGAAGCTTCAGATTTTTCCTAACTGTACTCATATCCATGCACGTGAAAATCAAGGCCAGGGCGGAAGTTGCCTGTTAGCTCAGTGTGCTTGCTGGTGAGCTAGCACCAGGCCTGGTCCAGCCCAGTGCTTTCTATGCATCGCCAGCTCCCACTTCGCCCAAGATCACATTAGCCTCAGTGCATATTCCCAGCCACAACTCACAGCGTGACGGTTATATTTCTAGTTCTCCGTGTTGAATTACAAAGGACTGATGTCTACTTTATAGAAATTTGACATCAAAACTATCAAAGAAAACTGTGCATGAGCTTCTTGAGGCTATATCTGGTTTAAAAGTTAGCAGTTTGAGAATATTAACGCGTATATGTGTCATGGGGTGACTCAGGATAGGCCAAAGGAAATACCCTTCTCTTTGAGTTCTATTCTCTTACCGAAAGCCCAAGCTAATCAAAGGGAATAAGCAGTTTGCTGCCCAAGCTGGTCATAGAACATCCTGCACATTTTAAACTCTTGGCATCAGTAGCAGCATCAGACCAGCAGAGGGCGCAGTGAGTAGCAGAAAGGACCCAGGAGAGCGAAAGCCATGTGTACCTATCCATATTTTCTAAAGCCTGAGACAGGTGAGATAAAAGTTATTTATTATATAAATGGCTTTTAAAATACATATAGTAGTTTCCAGGTTTTTAAAAAAATTAATTAGTTCGTCTTTAATTACATAGGTAAAACACAAATGTAGAAAATTTACACAGTACAGATAAAGTGAAAGTTCCTTCATCTCTCCTTCCTTGGGTTATCAGTCTCTCTTTCCAGACTTTTTAAATACATAAAACGTTTATAATGCACCTAGAAATATAAATTTTTTTCATAAATGGGATCATATATTTTTTGCTTTTCCCCCACTTATTATTACATTTTAGACATCTCTATGTGTACATACATATTTATTATTTTCTTTTTTAAATTGAAGTATAATTGACATTCTAGTAGCTTTAGGTGTACAATGTACTGACTTGATATTTATATATATTGCAAAATGATCTCCACAATAAATCTCGTTAACATTTGTCATCATGCATAGTTACAAAAATATTATTTTATTTGAAAAAGTTGCTGCCTTGGATTCCATTGGATGAATGTTCTATGGTTTATTTAATAATTTTTCTATTGAGACTTTTGGTTGGTTTTTTCCCTCCACTATTACAAACAGTGGAATCCTTATGATTATGTATGTTTTTTAGTACAGATATTTAGCTGCGAAGATATATGTTCTTTGAATTTTTTAGGATGACATTAAACAGAGTCAGAGGAGAGGGTGGATGCCTCAGGATTCAAGACTTCACAGTCACTCACAATAGGGGACTGTGGTCTGGCTGTCAGCTGTACCAGAGGAGGAATGCCGGTGACGTCCGCCTGCAGCTGTGGCCTCTTCCCTCACAGCTGCGGGCAGCACAGTGGCTCACTTGACTCAAAGTCTGAACCACCAGGGGACTGACAATCCAGTGTCTGCCGGGAAGGGAAGTTCTTTAATTGTTGTTGAATGGGATGGGGTGACCACTGTGGGCAGCCAGTAAAATGAGAGAGGGCTTGGAGCTCGTGGGGCTGATGGGTTCTGATTGGAAGATCTCTCCAGGGCTGTTCATTGAGGCAGTGGTCTGGGGTGGAGTGGTTTTGGTTTCTTACGTCTGATGTATTCTCTGTTTTTGCAGTTGGCCATCCAATCCCTGTTCATCAGACTCTGAACCCCACCCGGGAGCAGGTTGAGGAGCTGCATCAGACCTACATGGAGGAGCTCAGGAAGTTATTTGAGGAGCACAAAGGGAAGTATGGCATCCCAGAGCACCACACTCTTGTTTTTAGATAACTGTCCTCTTAGAAGGCCGCAGGAGGACGGGAGAATAAATATGTTAAATATGTTAATTTCTTTCCTTGACTGTGGAGTTAAATTTGCACCTGGAAAGTATTATTTATGGTGACAGATGTTGATGTAGAACTGTGTTAAATAAAAATACAGTGTGTGATGATAGGACAAGGTTAGAGGTGACTATAAGTCTATTAATAACTTCCTCATTGAGGAAGATGAAATCATCTTACAGGTTCAGAAATTGTTTAGAACAGTGGTTCTCAACCTTCCTAATGCCGCAACCCTCTAATACAGTTCCTCATGTTGTGGTGACCCCCAACCATAAAATTATTTTCGTTGCTACTTCATAACTGTAATTTTGCTACTGTTATGAATCGTAATGTAAATATCTGATATGCACGATGTATTTTCATTGTTACAAATTGAACATAATTAAAGCATAGTGATTAATCACAAATACAATATGTAATTATATATGCGTTTTCCGATGGTCTTAGGCAACCCCTGTGAAAGGGTTGTTCGACCCCCATAGGGGTCGCGACCCACAGGTTGAGAACCGCTGGTTTAGATTTATTCCTTATGCAGACCCTTAGGCTCAATATTACAATCATTTTAGGTGGTGTTTTCACTAAGTATATTAGCTGTTATTCCATGCAGCTGGAACATTTAGGAGACGGTGTGTAAAATAATTTGCCATACGGAGCTAGGAGAGATCATTAACTTTTGTTGCTTGAACAGTCCATTTTTTAGTGAAAAATGTTACTTTTAAGGCTTAGACTATTTGATCCGTTAGGTCAGGGGTCCTCAAACTACGGCCCGCGGGCACATGCAAATACAAATATTGTATTTGTTCCCGTTTTGTTTTTTTACTTCAAAATAAGATATGTGCAGTGTGCATAGGAATTTGTTCATAGTTTTTTTTTAAACTATAGTCCGGCCCTCCAACGGTCTGAGGGACAGTGAACTGGCCCCCTGTTTAAAAAGTTTGAGGACCCCTGCGTTAGGTCATGTCAACCAACACATTTGTATACAATGGGGCAGAATCGTTATGCAGTTTTCAGAGTAGGATGAGTCTACCGTACGGAAACCCCCGTGTATGAGAGCGTGTCTCCTCATTCCTATTCATGCTTCGAAATGTTCATCCTTGTCATCTGCTAAGAAATATGTCCATTTTCTATAGAAAAAGGAGGAAGACACACTTTCCTGTATATTTTAGGACACTGAAATTGCGGAAGGTTTTCATGTAATAGAAATGGTTTTAATTTTCTTCCCAAATGGCCTCTTTGAATAAGAGGAGCTGTGAAAGAAAGCACCCTCTCTGGTGAGATGTGGCCAGTTCTCAGCTGACTTGGGTTATAGGAGTCTCCTCTGAACTACAGCGTCAGGTCTGTGAGAGCCGGAACCTGTCCCCATGTGCGTTGATGTCTCCCTGTGCCTGGGTCAGCTCATGACACTTCGTCAGCTCAAAATAGTGTACTTGTAGATGAGCACAGAGACAAACTTTACCATAGGGCGAGGAATTTTGAAAGCTCGACTGTAGGATGAAACCTATAATAAGACAAGACCCACTCTCAGAAGGAGATGACTGGCTGAATCTGATTGTCCTGCATGCTGGCTTGGAAGGAGCAAGCCAGAAGGAGGTTTCTGATGATTAGTTTCTAAGTGTGAAGTAATTATTCAGGAAGTAAGAAGAATGTCAAGTTTCCAAAAGATCTCCATTGCTAGATGTTGTGTCTGTACTTCCTCCACTCTAGGTGTTTGAGGGTAACTTTACTAAGTTGTTCTAACTCATTGGTAAAATGTCTTCCGGCCTCTAATTTTAAAACATCAGTCCCTGGGCTAGAGCCCAGATTGGCTCAGTGGATAGAGTGTCAGAACTGTGGACTGAAGGGTCCCAGGTTCGATTCCCAGGTTCAGCAACAGCAGAATGAAAGTGCGCTGGGTGATGCCTTGACTAGGGAAGCATTCACACATGAGAAAGCAAACCTTCTCGATTGTTCTTCATAAGGTTTTGTGGCCAACGTCCTGTTGTCTTCACACTGAGCAATCCTGGAGTCCACTGATCATGGCCTTTCTTTCTTTCTTTCTTTCTTTCTTTCTTTCTTTCTTTCTTTCTTTCTTTCTTTCTTTCTTCCTTCCTTCCTTCCTTCCTTCCTTCCTTCCTTCCTTCCTTCCTTCCTTCCTTCCTTCCTTCTTTCCTTTCTTTCTTTCCTTCTTTCTTTTTTCTTTATCAAAGCAGGAATTAAGACACACTTGCTTTACTAGATGCAGAAAATTCGACTATAAATCCTTTTTGGTATTACTCAAAACCAAAAAAAAAAAATGTAAAAGGAGCCTCATTTACATAAAATGACACTCTGGCTGATCAGGGTTCAGTCTTTCAGAATGTAGCTGTGAGGCCTGAGTAACCACAATCAAAGGCCTTTAAGATATATATTTTTTTAAATATATTTATTGATTTCAGAGAGGAAGGGAGAGGGAGAGAGAGATAGAAACATCAATGATGAGAGAGTATCATTGATTGGCGGCCTCCTGCACGCCCCCTACTGGGGATTGAGCCCACAACCTGGTCATGTGCCCTTGACCGGAATCAAACCTGGGACCCTTCAGTCCACAGTTCTGACACTCTATCCACTGAGCCAAACCAGCTAGGGCAAGATATTTTTTAAAAATATTTTTAAAATTGATTTTTTAGAGAGAATGGAAGGGAGAAGTTGGGAGAGAAACATCGATCAAAAGGTCTTTAAGCCCTAACCGGTTTGGCTCAGTGGATGGAGCGTCGGCCTGCGGACTGAGGGGTCCCGGGTTCGATTCCAGCCAAGGGCATGTACCTTGGTTGTGGACACGTCCCCGGTGGGAGGTGTACAGGAGGCAGCTGATCGATGTTTCTAACTCTCTATCCCTCTCCTTTCCTCTCTGTGAAAAATCAATAAAATATATATTTTTTAAAAAAGGTCTTTAAGTTACTACAAAACACATGAATATCCTCTCTTTGGAGAAGTTTATTAAATGCTCATAGTCTTTTGCAGTTTCACAAAGTTATGAATTTTAATCTCACACTTGGGAGGCAGAAGGCCACACTGACCACCCAACATCAGCTGATTGTCTGGTAAGCAGTTGCAGCTCATCTGCATTAACACAGAGGCACTGAGGAGTGAGAAAAGTTCTGCTCTGATGACTTTATCTAGAATTTTGCCAGTTAAAATATCTAGACATCAGCAACTTCACTTTCGGCATCCCTAAAACCCGATAACAATAGGTACATATTAGGGAATGTATCTCTTCCTTTCTTAGGGTCTCCAGAGGTCTTAATCCTGCCAGGCCAGAGTTCCTTTCATAAACGCAAAGCACAGTGGTGAGTTCCATAGAGCCCTACCAATTGCAAGGGAAATTTTTATATGCATCTTTGCTGCGAAACACATGTGGGTCATCTATTGTATTCACTAGTGTGGTTTGATGGAGATCTCTACTAGTATTTTCAAGGCTCTTGTCTATTACACACTTGCACCTAAAATTTAAGCAGCAAAGCAAAACAATTAACAGCAACAGCAATAATCTAGGACACTGGAAGAGAAACTGGGCGAGCTGCCTTGAGAAAATGTGCATTTATGCTGTTTGATTTGGACGGCTCTTCTTCCTGTTTCCCTCACACACTGGGTGCAGGCTGTCATTTCCTTTGTCTGGCCGCCAGGAGTATTGAAGGGGTCTGTGTCCGGCTAAGTCCATGGAAGGCTGTAGCCTCAGTGTGATGAAGGCCAGCCAGGTTTGCTCTGGCCCAAGAGGAGCCAGGTTAAGGGACGCTGTGTATGAATTATGTAAACCCTTCTCCACGACTATGAAAATGTCAAAGTGTACATACTTCGGGGATGATGGGTGGGCCTTTATCGTACGCAGAGGTTTGAAAGTAAACCCCTCTCTATTGGTAGGAGGCACATTTCTGTCATGGGAAGCACAAGGGGTGGCACCTACACGTGATGCCCACACTTCTGGAGCGTGACGTCTCTCCCACACTACCTCAGTGGTGCCAGCTACCAAAGTCTGGGGTAGACATGTAAACAGGTTGGGGTTCGTCTTCTCTTCCTCAAACAAGAGACAATGTGGATGGGATTTGCTGATTACGTTTTCCCCCAAATGGCCCAGGATTGCTAGTTGTCATCCTTCTCATGCATTTTTCATACTAAGTGATTAAATATCTATTGGTGGTGCTGGGAGAGGTCCTCCAGGTAAAATTTGTATCTCTTTTTATTTTATTTTTAAGTTAAATTTATTGGGGTGACATTGGTTAATATGTATATCTTTTTAAAGAAGAACAACAAGGCAACTTCGAAATAACCAGCTCATGGCTCTAGTTTCTCTAGGAAGTATATCTTTGTATTAACACCAAAAGGTTTTCTCTAATACCTTATATTTTGTTTGTTTGTTTTTATTGATTTCAGAGAGGAAGGGAGAGGGAGAGAGAGATAGAAACATCAATGATGAGAATCATTGATCGGCTGCCTCCTGCACGCCCCCTACTGGGGATTGAGCCCACAACCCAGGCATGTGCCATTGACCAGAATCGAACCCAGGGCCCTTCAGTCCACAGGCCAATGCTCCATCCACTGAGCCAAACCAGCTAGGGCTATATTTTGATTTTTGAGAGTAATCCTCCCCAGACACTTTCAGCTTAGTGCCTTACTATCTTAAATGAGGAGGTGCAAGTGTACCCCAATCCATAGTTAACCCCCGCAGCACAGTCTGCCTTCTCTGATGTAGATCTGGACTCCGAGCAGTCTCTGAAAGGATGCCGGGCCCCTAACCTGGCACTTCGATGGATCATGTCACAGAGACCAGGTTTTAGAGCTAGAAGGGACTTCACAGCCTGTCTAGATGCAGCAGTCGAACCCAGTGAAGTTGAATGCGAATTGGAGCCGACTCCATGTTCCTGTCGCCCTGCTCTAGATTGAGCTGGAGGTGCCGCTATTCCATGGTTGTTGGTTAATAAACCCAGGGATCCCCCTATAAAACATATTTCCAAAAAGTAGAGTGTGATTAAAAATACACTTAAAGCAAGGGATTTAACAGCTCCCAAGCAAGCGCTGCCTTACCGGGACTGAGAACATTTTTCTTCTTTTGAGACCAGTCCACCGCAGTGTTGACTTTTCCCTTTTGCAAGAGCTATTTTGGTGATGTGTCTGGGCCACGTCCAAGTTTTCACCCTCAGGCTTAGCCACCAGAGCCCTTTCGTATTGAAGCAGCCGGGGAAGGCGAGGTGCCTGTGCTCGGGATGGTGACAGACCCTGCTCAGGACAAGCAACCTCGTCATTCACACAGGTG